GATCTGTTTGTTTGCGGCCCCGTTCTCTCGAAGGAGCGTACACTTCCTGTTTTCACTGGAGCGCAGAAGTGAAAAGTGCAGACAAACAGGACGGCGTCCACCACAACAGAACGCCTGCAGGTGGAGAACAAAACAACCTGCAGGAGGGTGGTGGTACTGCAGAGACGGTGGAAAATTAGAAATGCTGTCTGTCATTTCTTAGGCCCAAAAATGTCTGAGGACTTTTTAATCTCAAACATATTATTATTATTTAAATAATAAACACAGTAAAAGACAGTGTTAAGATGTCAGAATAAAACATGTCGCTCCGGTGTCTAACCTCAGTCATGTTACCTCTTTCGACTGAAACCGATTGTGTATTTTGTGAAGCGTAAACGTGTCTTCATATGCAGACGATGTGGTTACTTTTATTTGGGCCAGATGCTGTAGAAAAAAACATGCAAAAACCAGCATCCTGTACCGAGCACATTAAACTGCCTGGATGCTGATTGGTGATATGACTGGCTGTTGGTCGGTCGGTCTGTCTGTCGGTCGGTCCTTCTGTCGGTCTGTCTGTCTGTCGGTCTGTCTGCCTGTCTGTCGGTCTGTCTGTCTGCCTGTCTGTCTGTCTGTCGGTCTGTCTGTCTGCCTGTCTGTCTGTCTGTCTGTCTGCCTGTCTGTCTGTCTGTCTGTCTGGCGGTCTGTCTGTCTGTCGGTCGGTCTGTCTGCCTGTCTGTTTGTCTGTCTGTCAGTCGGTCGGGCGTTTCCTCCTGCAGCAAATTACAATTACAGACAGCACTGACCAGACGGACGGGATTTGACTCAGTGCCTCAGAGTGAGACAGAACTGGGCCGGGGACAAGAAGTGGAGACAGTGAAGGGGACGTCCTCGCTGTGGACAGAGACAGGCTGATGGAGGAGCTGATAACACCAGAGACACCATTGTCTTACAGAGCTGGGACACCCAGTGTGTGTGTGTGTGTGTGTGTGTGTGTGTGTGTGTGTTGTTTTTGTATCTGTGGAGACTCTTCTTGAACCTAGTTGTGGAGGAAAGGTTTTTGAGAATCTGTTTGTTTCATTTTGTGGTTCTCTTGGTGTTGAAGGTTGAAGAGGAGCAGTGTCTCAGAGTCAACTCTTCACCTGGGTGACCGGGGGTGTCCCTGGGTGTGTCCCTGGGTGTGTCCCTGGGTGTGTCCCTGGGTGACCAGGGGACGTTACGTTCCTGACAACAACCCTCATGTTGTTGTTACTAAAACCTTGGTTTGAGATCGGACTCACTTCCACCTCACTGCATCGCGTGCCATCAACCTTTGGGTGTGTGTGTGTGTGTGTGTGTGTGTGTGTGAGCGTTCCTGCCTCTGTGCAGATACCATCTGTGTGATAAGAGGAGGAAGTCATGTGACCTCAGACGTCTCAGCGTATCTGAACTCTGGCTCTGAGTCCAGGAACAGTCAGTAGAACCGGCCTTTATCGACCGAACCTGCTGCCAACAGCATCAGTCTCAGCCCACAGCTGAACACACCAAGGTTCTGACATTTTTGAAAACGTATCTTCGTAAAAAAAAAAAGAGTGGTTGGCGCTCTTACCTCACAGGAAGGTCGTTGCATCACTCTTCGATGCCCTAGTGTAGGAAGAACCGGACCAGACGTGGCCCCCAGGCCCCAAGTTTGAGACACCCTGTTTTTGGACCAGCGTTTGGTTCATTTTGTCGATTTACATTCCAGCCTGTACGGCTCAGCCAATCAGAGACCAGGAAAGTGATGATGGCCAAAAATCTAAAACCTGTTTCACACATTTATATATTTTTATTTTTATTTTCAGGGAGCAGTGTGCTCATTGGCTGGTCCTAAACGTCCACTTCCTCCTCTGAGTCAGAACATTCTTCCTGTGCATCATGTGGTAACTTTAATATTTCACAACAGACGCTCCCCCTCTGTCTGTCTCTGTCTGTGGCTGGGTCGTTCTCACACAATAAATTCCATGATAAGTCACGCTCACTTCCTCAGTGTGAGTGTTCATCCACACACACACACACACTCACACACACACACACACAGGTCCAGTTCCAGACCTGATTAGTTCTTGTGGTGAGTCTTTGTTTGAGGACAAAGGATTTCCCTGTCTGGGACGAGCAGCTGG